AAACTTTCTAATAAATTCTCAAGTCTTATGTCTTTGATTTCATTTTTTTTAATTCTAAAAAGTGTTACTGACATATTTTATTGATCCTGCATCAATTCGCCACGTATATTCGTCGTGGCGACAATTCGCAACTCACAATTCGTCTTAGCGACAACTCATCACTCACTGGGGCCTCCCTGGTCGACTCGTATCGCCCGCCAAACGCTGTGCAAAGCGTGGAGGTAGCGGGTTCCAATGCCCTGAATGTATTTCCGTGCTGTCATTCTCTGCATTGTTCTATTCGTCCTTCTATTTGACAAAGGTTTATAAGTCTTAATTGAGCACACAAGCCTGCGAATGTACGTAAATCCAATAAGCGAATAAATCATCACTCACTATTCGTCAAAGCGGTATTTCGCAGTGCACACTGCAAAAGTCACAGACATTCTGTTGTAAGCACAATTCGTTGTGAGCACAATTCGTTGTGAAGACATTTCGTCGTAGGAACAACTCGTCGTAACGACAATTCGAAGCAAGCACAATTTCTTACGGTATCGATGAAATACATTTTACTCAAGTAATTAAGGCAATAAAATAGATGTTTCTTCTGAAAAATTAATACCAAAAGTATATATTTTTGGTAGAAAACTTTGTTATATCATTATAAATGAAATCGGAAAACTCCCTTATTCTCACCTGTACGCTTCTCCCGTTTATGAGGTTGTTGCTGCTGTTCAGTTACGTCGCACTAGAGCTGCACAATGGGCTATTGGCGACGGTCTGAAAAACATCCCTGAGGACATGCCATCGCAATTTAGATTCGCAGAGGGAATGGTACTCCCGCTTCGGTCCGTTTTTGAGGAAGATTTGTGGGGAAGAATAGAATTTCTTTTAAGATGAAAAGATCGGGCCAATAATTTAGGAGTTAAGTGGGTGCCGCAGTGTACTGGTCGTTCATCATCATCATCATCAGTAGCTCAACAGTCCTGGGTGGACCATGGCTTTCTCAAGAAGACTGCACCAGTTCTTTCTTCTGTGTTTCACGGCTTTCCAGTCTCTGACCTTGATTGTGGTAAAGTCCCTTTGGAGGCAATCCGCCCATCTCAGTCGGGGTCTGCCTCTCTTTCTAACTCCAGTTGGCTTTGCCAAAAAGATTCTTTTAGTTGTTCTGTCATCGTTCATTCTTACAATGTGTCCGGCCCATTTCATGCGCTGGATCTTATGGTACTTCAGAATGTTCGGTTCTCTGAATATCCTGTAGAGTTCAGAGTTAGTTCTCCTTCTCCACACTCGCTTGTCAGTACTGGTCGTTAAGACACGGTTCCCAGCAGATCACCGAAGTCAAGCATCACTGGTTGCGTAAGAACCGAGAGAGTGCGGTATTGGTCCTCGTTAAACTGTTCTACAGTAAAGTGCTCGACTTCGCTTGCAAATCGTCGAGCTACCGAAGAGGAGGTGCCATCCCCTCTGCAGAGGATCAAAATTGTGATGGCATGTCTTCGGATCATCCTCAGGGATGTTTCCCACACAGTCGCCGATAGCTCATTGTGCAGCTCTAGTGCGACGTAAATGAACTACAACACCATAGAAGTTATGTGGGTTTTATATACAAAAAGTACAAATTTGTATTTGTGCCTGTTGACGCATCGGACCTTGCTATCTAAACAAATGAATCATTGTTTCCTACGTAGTTTTTCACGTTTAATCGAATGAAATTATACACGAGTCAATAAAATGAAAAATTTGTGAGCTGAAAGCCTTTTTTAAAAAGTACTTCTATCGACATGTACTTGAGTACATTTTTTACACTGTTGTCTAGAAACTATCTGAACATATAGGTACATTTTTCTATGTACTTTTTAATGGTGATTTAAATCAAATAAAATTCAAGTCGAGAGAATAAATATTATTGAAATTATAAGGAATTTCTCTATAATAAGTACAATACAAAAAGAAGTATTTTTTAATATAAAAAAGTTGCACTTTTTGAAACATTATTAATTTTAATTTGCATCTGTTTTCATTCGATTAAATAAGAAAAATACATAGGAAAGGGTACCTCACTCGTCTGTTTAACAGCATCAGAGGCGTATATAAGTGCAAGTACAAAGTTGTACTTTTTGTACACAAAACTCTTACAATTAATTAACTATTTATCTTATTATTTCTTGTTTGATGACAATCAATTTAACATAAATACATCGAAATATATATCTTAGATACATAGTTTCTACATAGCAATGCAAAAAGCGTACATAAGTACATGTCCAAAAAAAGTATTTTTTAAACCAAAAAACCCTTTAAAATTTTGAACTATTTGTGTGATTGATTTGTCTATAATCTTTATCGATTCAACGTGAAAAAAATACATAGAAAACAATGCTTCACTTGCTTAGATAGCAATGTTAGTTGCGTAATTTGCCCTTTTTTTTTAAATAACCACTGGATGACACCCCCACTTTGGGAGCCCGACACCTGCTTGCGAAGTCGATCAATTTACAGTTGACTAGTTTAACGAGGACCAATACCGCGCACCCTCTGTCCCTTCGCATAATGATCCGAATGTTTACCCCATCCCACCCCGCACACTGACAGCAGTCAGTGATGCTTGATTTCGATAGTTCTGCTGGGAACTGTGTCTTAACGATGGACTCACAATAAATAGAGAAGAGAAAAAACTACAACAAAAATATTTCTCCACATTTATTTTAATTTATAAAGATTAATGGAACTAGAAAAATGGCGTGAGATTAAAATATTCAAAATTTATTTTAAAAATGTGCTTTTGCTTCTTTTTTATATGCAAAATCTCTAAAGAATTATTATCTAAACACTTTTAGAACATTAATAAATCAATTTGAAATAATAAAAGAAAACGATAAAATCATTAAAAATGACAGCTGATGAACTCACCAGTAATGACAGTTCATCAATAATGACAGTTGTTAACAGAATATGTCTGTCAACAAACGTTGTTGTCTGTTAACAGACTATTTTGTGTTTACAATGTTGCTTAGGAAGTGTGAATGCGTTTCCTTTATCTTATTTTATTAAAAAATGTTCTTTTGCACTTTCATGAGAAAATAAAGACACTCAAAACAAACATTTTAAAATTTGATGAAGTATGAGATGAAAATGCAATTGCTTGCCATTTTATGATACAAAAATGCTAATATTTGCCAGTTTTTTTTTTTTTTTTTTTAAAGAAAAAAATTGGCAAATAAGGTATTTTTGAATTTTTAAATTTTTTGATTTCATTGACAGGATAGTTGCTTTTTATAAAGATATAAGAGAAGTGTTTTATTATTATTATCAGAAAAACATTCATTGAATTTGGAGAGCCAAAAAGGAATGTCATCAGGTATTTTAAGAAAAACACACCGTTATAGTAATTGAAAAAAAATTGTGCCCGACCATGCATTGACATGTATTTTTTGCTTTACAGCTTTCATCTTAACATTTAAAACTCAAATATGTGTAGATGAACTTTGGCATGAAAGCCCAAAGACATTGTACGATAAAAGGCTTTTTTCTTAGACTTTTACCACTAAAAACTAGAGCTGTACCAACAATGAACTAAAAACAGCAAAGAGAAACTTGGGAGTGCAGGAATGTGGATGGAGGAGAAGAGAAATGCAGGTGCTGGACCTTGAAATTACAAATGAACTGAAATTTTACCCAAGCTTCACCCAAGGTATTTAACAATAAATATTATTTTTATACATTCTTATTCACCTGTCTTATTAATTTAATTTAGATCTCATTCAATTTTGTATAAAAAAGAAAAAAAAGAAACTACGTCAAAATTTTTGTACTGCTTATTTAGTTAGCAGTTTATAAGTCCTTTCTTTCTCCTTTACTAAATTCAAGCTGGCACCTAAAGATTAACTTGCTGAGGTAGCAAACATCAGGTAACTGTATTAAGTTAATAAAGGTTTAAAAATGCTTTTCTTTTAGTATTATCACTCAGAAACTATTTAACTGATTTCTTTCAAAATTTTGTGCTTAGTCATTTAAAACCACATTGTATAATATAATATGTTTTTTTAATGATAACGACAGGCACTGAACTTTGGCTTAGAAGATGCTACTAAGAAGTGCTGCTCATTTATCATTATCCGACAATACACAGAGAAACATCCATGCCCTCAGCTGGATTTAAACCCACAGCCGTTGACTTCGCTCTCAGGCACGCTAGTCACTAGGCCACCTGGCCGACTATTAGTGGTGTAAAATTGTGTAAATCTCAAATTTCCCCCCCCCCCACTATTAAATGAAATAATTCAAAAAATAATAACTAAAAATAATTATTTGTTGCATAATCTTTTTTCCCCTTCTTTTTATACAAATCTATTTTTACATCGATAATGGGATGAGCGAATTCATAATTGTTGGTAAACATTTTTCCATTGACTTAAAAACTTCCCAAGATAGATATGGCGAAATTGAAATGAAATTTTTCAAATATTGAATTGAACATTGAATGAATCCATCATTATTAAATTGAAATGAATATGAAATTTTCGGGGACAGATATGACAAAATATGCAAAAAGAGAGGCTAGCATTAAAAGGCCTAAACTTACAACTGATTTCTTTAACAATCATTGGGATCATATTTTTCACTTTGCTGCTACCTCTACTTATATTTTGATAGTCAAAAATCAAAACCTGTCTGGGGAAAAAAAAGTTTTTGTTTCAGAGAAAATGCGTCTTTTTTTAAAGGATTTTGAATTTTAAAATATTATCTGCACTAATTAATTAGCTTATATGAGGTAGACTTTTTAAACATAATAATTGTTAAGGAAATCCAATCATTGCAATAGATGTTATTCAATGTATATTTTTTTTCCAAATCGTACCCCAAAAGTACGCTACACTCTGTATTTAGCAGGCATAACTAGCTAGCACCCACGCGATGATCTGTGTGTATGAGGTCCGTATTTCGCCGACATCAGGCGACTATCTGTGTGTACGAATACCGTATTTAGCCGGCATCCACGCGATGATCTGTGTGTATGAGGTCCGTATTTCGCGGACATCAGGCGACTATCTGTGTGTACGAATACCGTATATAGCCGGCATCCACGCAACTATCTGTGTGTATGAGTACCGTATTTAGCTGGAGTCAGAGTGAAAAAAGCATATATTGAGTACGTTTAATATCTTTCGTGGGTCGATTGCATTTCTTGCAAAATCACCAAATTCATTGCTATGCAAGACTTAATTAAGAGACTCCGAACATCAGTTTACCGACACGCAAGATGCACATCGTTCATTGGCGTCACTTCAGCGGAGCGGATTGCCGTAACGAAAGGGTTAAGGATCATGGAACATATCTTGAAAATTTCATAATATAAAAAAAGCTAGATGCCTTAAAATAATGGTTGAAAAATAGGATTTTTTTTAAAATTAAAAAGCATTGAATAGCTCTTTGACAGTTTAATATTTCTGAGTAAAGCCTGAACTTGATGGGAAAATTCTGTTTGGAAATGTCAGAGTTTTGAAATGCCGAAAGTTTAAAATGTAACAGAAAAAAGATTTGACAGCATCGCAACCGGCTCTCAAGAGATAAAGAAGTTCACGTGCAAGAAATTTATATTTGAAAAAATTATACACAAAATTGAGGGCGTGTGGTAAAAAAACAAGTCTGACAAAAGTGCATCTAACAATTGGATACCAACAGGTTATTATGTCAGCATATGTTTTGACGTGGAAATATAAAGGTGGAATATGCACGATATTGAAATATTTTAAATATATAAAAACCATAACAAAAACAGAAAAAATAGCGTAGTATATGACGAAATTCCATTGAGTATCAGTAATACACGATACTTTTGGCATAATTTCATTATTCATGGACTGGCTCTTTCTAAGCAAGGATTTCGATTTTCCAACAACTTTTTCCATCACCTCTAATGTTATTACTTTTTTTGCAATAACTTTTTGGGCAATCTGTAAGTACAGTAAAAATGTATGCAGTTTTATTTATTGATTCTTAAATGTTTTATTTAATTAGAATCATAGAATATTATTTCTCGGTGGCCTGCTAACCCTATTTCTTAGTAAATTTCATAGAATAAAACCTTAAGCTGTAAAAGATCTTAAGGAATGCATTTATATACAGGGTGATTCTAAAAAGATGGGCAAAACACCCAAACAAACAATTTTAATCAAAGAATGCATCGTCGAAAACAAAACGCAAAGGTGCTGGCGCATTTGGAAAGTTGTTTGATGCAAACGTGAAAGCTCCATTCCTGTTGCGAGTTATTATTTGCATGTTATGGGAAGAAGAAGAGCTCGTATGCAAATTTTTCACCACGATTCATACATAAAAGCTGCTGATTAGAGTGCTATAATGTCTATAAATATTTAAAAAAAAAATTGGCTTTTTGTGGGGACAGCTTAAGGCTCTTATGTATGAGGCTCCCATTGAATCTGCAGAAGAACTTGTTGCCAAGCTGTCGGCCTCTGCAGGGAAAGTTCGTGATATTCTTGGGGTGCTTCAGAATGTACGCCTATCTTTTCTTCGCCGTTGTACTGCGTGCATAGCTTCTGCCGGCCACTGTTTTGAACACTTATTGTAATCACATGCCGTTAAATTTGCTTTTATAACTTAACTTCAACGTTCTTTGTGTGTTTTTGCCTCATACAAGAACATAAACTTTGACGCCCTCTAGCGGTTTTGCATTTTGTTTTCGACTATGCATTCTTTGATAAAAATTGCTTGCTTGGGTGTGTACTATCACTTCCTAAAATTTTGCCCATCTTTTTAGAATCACCCTGTATAAGTAGTTTATACAGCTTTAAAATCTTGTTGAATACTAGAGAGATTAGGAGAAGGATAAACAAGTAGAGCTACTTTCAAAATTTGAAAAATACCTTTACAGCTAACAAAGTAACAAAAATTAAGCATAATAACATAAATTAAAAATAATTAAATAATTACATATACTCGGAATTATTTCAAGAAGGCGATTGATAGATTTATGATAATTGTATATCTTCTAATATGTACATACACAATTATCTTAATTAAACAATTAAATTTTTGAACGCAATTATAAAATTTGTGTATTTGTTTGTTGTTTATCCAAAGATTATTTCATAAAATAAATAAATTTAGGAAATATTTATTATTTTTTATTATTTTATTAAATACTAGTCTAAAAACTGTTATTGTAGGATACACAAAGTTTTAACATCATTTTAAAGAATGTTATTTTATGTGGAAAAATACGAAATTTGAGCGAAATTGATTAAATAATTTCTGAACATTAAAATTTTTAACATGCAAGTTTTTTAAAATTCAATTTAGCAGAAACCATTCGACCGATTTCACTAAATTCTTTTGTTTACCAAGTAAAATTATATTCTTTAAATTGATGTAAAAAATTGAAGGCCTTAAAATTCAAAATGTTTTCGATTATTATTAAATAAAATAATAAAAAAACAATAAATATTTCATAAAACTTATTTTTTTGATTGGGACTATCTTTGAATAAACGAATTTTACAATTGCGGGTAAAACTTTTTGATTTACTTAAAAAATTCTCGAGATTTAGAGAAATACGCAATGAGTGAAATTAACATTATGGGGACTAAGCTTGGACGGCTCTCTTGACTTGTTCGGACCCTATTTCCCTCATGTATCAGGAGGTAGAAACCTGAATCCATCGAAAAAAAAGAAGTTTATTCAGAGAAACTACGTTTTTGTGTCTGATTTCATTACTTAAAATATCTTCTGCACCAATTAACTAGCCTTTGAGGTCACCCTCCTGCAAACCGTTAAAATTGAGCGTAAAGATCCGATCATTAGATCAAAAGTTATTCAGAGTGGTCCATTCCATCCAACGTACTGGAACCATCTGTTATGTGCAATTTGTAATTGAACGCAACTTGCAAATGAGATATTTACATTAATCATTAACTGTTGAAGCCATTGAAGATATTAGCTGCTGTTTAGAAATTTTACATTTAGACGCATGATGTTTACCTCAGCATTTTATGCATAAAGCTTTATCTTTGCTAGGATGATTTCTGTAAATGTGACCACAATTACGGCCTGGAAAACGCCTATTTGTCTCTTTTAATTTCTGAAGGTGAATATTTATATAAGATAAGTAATTTGCTAATCATGTATCTAACGACCAGTTTCTTCACAGAAAGGACAGAGCAGCGAAATAATTTTAGTTTTATTTCGCCTACATTTGACTGAAGTAATCTCAAATGATCAACTATAAAATTTAAATGCGATTCATTCAGTGACTCATTCACAATTTTTTGAGATATAAGTGTTCCTTCTACTTTCACCTGCCTAAAATTCAATACTTTTCATAATATTACCATCGGAAATGTTTTCTCGCATCACGACAAATTGGTGACAAATCCATCGGCGACAAATGTTACATGGTAACGTTCGCAAAATCATTGGTACTGAAATCTGTCCATATAAATCAACATTCTCTGATAATACATTTTAAGCTTGCAATTTTCAATTGCATTCTACTTATAAATTATTCAAGGCAGAAAGCGATGAATTGAGTATTGGCGTTAAATTTATCCTGGCAAAAGTTTAGTCTAAATGGGTTTGAATTGTTATGTCCTTACTACCATTTTCTTAAAGATGCATTTTCAGCTGAGTCTATTTTCGTAAGTACCCATTTTTAACTGAGCTCATGACATGAGGAACGGTACGCGAGGACCGGTGCTTATTGGATGATTTAATACGCTGTTCGTAAGCAAGAAGTAGGGTTTCAACAGTTGGGGAGTGACCATAACATAAATTTTCCTATCGTTGCATCTGTAAAGGAATTTATCAGTTATTAAATGACATATTACAGTAAAAGAATTTATACCCGATATACTTCCTCTGCGTGCTGATCAAATAGATCTGCTAAATGCTTGTAACATTTCTCCATATAATTTCTCATATTCCGTTCAATTAATTCTGATTGGTTGTTTCCAAGTATCTGCCAATTGGATTTCCTCGTTTCCATCAAGGCCTATAAATAGAAATTTAACACATATTTTACTTGCGACTTCTTTATCATTATTTAGTCACTTTACTGTACTCCGTTGCAAAGTTGTGAAAAGATCATTGAGGTGTGGGATTTAAGTTATCATCAGCTACTGCATATAGTTCTGTTTTATTTCGCTGTCAAATTACACAAATATGCTTTCAAAACAATATAAAAGTTTTAAAAAGTTAAAAACGTCAGAGTAAAATTTAATTCGTGCTATCTTTTACGATCTATCATAGAATTATTTAAAAAAAAGGTCATTCGCAATTTCACTGGAATCCTAGACTGGGCGATGTATTTTGATAAATAAGGAAAAACAAACTATCTGATGTCGCAAGAGCATTGGAATTCATTGGACCACTAAAAATGGCGCCTCGTATACTGACATGCCCTTAACAAATCAAATGAGAAATTAAAGAAAATTTGTTTCGCTCTCGAAGAAAATCGTCTGTAAGAAACAATATTTATTATTCTTTCCTCAGTTTCTTTAAATGAAAGTTGGCGATGATGACATACGTTCACGCTGGAAACGTATGTTAACAAGGGAGCTTGGCATCCATTTGGCTAGCATATATATGCAAACAGGCTCTCTCCTAGGAGATAATGTTTTTTTTTTACCCATTGGCAAAATGGGTGATATTTTGGGTTTGATGGCATTACTAGGACGTCATCACACTTTTCAACTGTATTCAAGGGTCAGAGTAAACAGTGCGCATGAGTCGTCACTGCATGTGTTGCTATGGCGACCACTGCTGCTTGATAATATTTTTAAAATTCTTTTTTTCATTTTCAATTTCGTTATGCATTAAGTTGGTGAGTTCATTTTTGAGATATGGGACCAGAGAGATCCCATAAAAGAGAATTGTAAATAAAATCTGAGTTGTAAATAAAAGAGAATTTTATAATTGTACAGGTTTAGACCCGATCACGAAGTCCAATCCTGTCTTTTATGCAGCAGAAAAGAAATACTAGTTAATCCAATATATTACATTTCAATGTATTTAAAATAAAATAATTTAAGGTTACATGAAAATAAAAACATATCTCGCTGACGATCGCGAGAGAGAATAATATCAGATGAACGACATCTCGTGAACGAACTTGTTTATATCTAAAAAGAAACTACTGTTCACTCCAGTTCAAAGTTCGGACTGGTTCGGATGTAGAAGTTGAAGTAGCAGGGGGCGGAGTTATCGACCATGCCAACCGTCATCTATCAAAAGGTACCTCGACATAGATGACGGTTGCCATGGTCTGTAACTACTTTCCCCACATTGGTGACCTTCGGACGTGATGCGAACACGCCTACCTAGACAGTAACGCCTACTTCGATGGATGATCCACATTGAACAGTTGACTTGCTACTTGTGACTGCGACATTATCCACCTCCTCGCACTGTTGCTACTCAGTCTCATCTCGACCACGAACAACGTCGGCTTGCATACTTGTGATTACTCGACTGCTAACGGCAACAGAGGAGCGACTACGACCGTGAAGTTAATACACCTCTCACATTCAGCACTAAAAAAAAAACGGTGATCTTAATACAGCTCTCCCGGCTTCTNAATAAATATTTGTATTATAAGTAGGGTTGAGCAGCGATGGCTCAGGGGATAGAGTGTTCGCCTTCCTATGCGGCGAACAGGGTTCGAATCCCAGTCCATTCGAATTCCTCATCCTGCTTGCACCGACCACAGTGCTGACGTGAAATATCCTCAGTGGTAGAGGGATCATAGGTTAGAGTCCCCTTGCCGTGCCGTGGGAGATTCTCGTGGTCTTCCTCTCCATGTAACGCAAATGCGGGTAAGCTCCATCAAAAAGTCCTCCGCGAAGGGAAATTTCTCCCAATACTCGATCCAGGAGTTCCTTTGTCTTCTAAATTGGGTTCAAAATTACAAGACTACGGAGTTGAACATTAGCAGTCGACTCATAAAATTGGGTCGGCTGTTCAACGACGGTCATAAAATAAAATAATAAGTAGAGTTGGGTACTGATTTGGAGATTCGAATCATAAGCTTACATTTGATTCCAATCAGTGATTAGAATCAGTTGATTTAATCGAAACAGATTTAAATTAAAATGAACTATTGTTTCCTAAGTATCTGTTGAAAAATTTTAGTCCACTTTAGTTTAAATCTTTTATTTTATAGTAATGCTATGTCAAATTTCTAGTGAACCCTTAGAGATTCTCATACATTAATTATTATGGAATTATTATTTTTCAATCAAAAAATTCGATAAGTACACAAATAAAAAAAAACGAAAACAACAAACTTAGAAATTTTTATTAACTGCCACAAAAAAAAGTATTTTTAGCATTTAGCAGCAGATATAATAAGAACATACGAAAAATGTAATAAGGATATTTATTTACTTGAAAGAATTCTAAGGTTTTAATACTTTTTTATCAATCGAATTTTGATAAAGGGATAAAAAAAGTACTCAGTCAGTAATGAGAATCTAAGCTGAATAGTGTTTTGAATCATTTGATTCGCGATTAATTCGTTAAACCATGTCTTTCAAATCAGTGATCCGAATAACATGAATTGAGATCTGAATCATTTGATTTGAATCGCTAATCCAAAGCATTGATTAAAACGGCTTGATTCAAATTATTGATCCGAATTCCTTCATGCAAATAACTGATATCGCTTGATTCAACCAACTGATCTGAATCACTAAATTCAAAAAGTGATTTAAATCACCTCCTTTGAACGACTTTTCCGAAACACACATGATTTTAAGAAGTGATCAGAATCACTTGATTCGAATCAGTAATCTGAGTCAGTGATGCGATTAACTTGATTCGAAGTTATTTGAATCCCTTATCTGAGTAGCATGAGGTGAATTAGTGATCTGAAACTCTTGATTCGAATCATTTGATACGAATAGTAATTCTGATCACTTATTTGAATAGCGTGATTTGAATCATTGATCTGAATCACTTGATTTGAATCAGATACCTGAATCACTTGATCTGAATTAGTGCTAAGAATAATTTGATTTGAATCATTGATGACAGTCACTTGATTCGAATGAGTGATCTGAATTACTTGACATGATTCAATGGTCCGATTTACTTGATTTGAATCAATTATCCGAATCGATTGATATGAATCAGAGATCTGATTCACTTGATTTTAATTACTTGATTCAAAGCACACTTCTGTATCACTTGTTTCAAACAGTAGTTTGAATATTTTTTTTGTATCACTAAATCACTTGAATCACTTTTACGAATAGTGATTTGAATAACTTGATCCGAATTCCTGATCAAGATAATTCGATACGAATAGCGATCTAAATTATTTCATTTGAATCATTGAACCATTTGAAACAATAATCTGAATAGTAATTTGAACCTATTGAGCAGTAATTTGAACCCTTTGATATGAATCAGTAATCAGAATCACATAACTTGAATAATTTATCTGAATCAACCTGATTCGAAGTGATTTGAATCATTTATCTGAATCTTATAATTTAAATTTCTTGATTCGAACAAATGATCCCATTATTTGATTCGAATAGTAATTTGAATAATTTTATTTGAATAACTGATCGAGTCGCTTGATTTGAATGACTGATCTAGATCACTTGATTTGAATAATGGTTTGAATTACTGTCCCGAATATCATGATTTGAATCAGTGATTCGAATCTTGTGTTTCGAAATCATTCAAATCACTTATCCGAATCGATTGCTATGAATCAGTGATCTGAATCACTTGATTCGTATCACCGATCTGAATCACTTGATTCGAACAGTAATTTGAAACACTCATATGAATCACATGATTTTAATCAGTAATCCGAATAACCTGATGCGAATACTGATTTGAATAACCAGAATCAAATCTCTGATTTGAATTCTTGATTCATATCTCAAATCAGAATCACTTGAGTCGAATAATGATTTGAATCACTTGATCCTATCCCTAATGATCGAATCCCTAGTTCAAATCACTTGAGTTAAATCACTTTTTATGTCTATACAATTTCGGGACTTACGGGATGATTGTGGCAATGTGACCATGGGCTTACCTAAACTATTACTGACACTAGGGATGCTTAACTAATTGTGCTCATAGGAAAATAATATACTTCTATAGGCGTAATTTTTTGGCCCACCGAAATGTATATGAATCAAAGATTTCACATGATGTACGTATTTCATATTTTTGGATCTTAGTTTTAAAAACTATATCACTATTCGCACAAAGTTAGACTAAAATATGCTAGCATTAAAAAAAGCGAGCTGGATAGCGAAACCATTTGGAAAAAACTTCAATATTCATTCGTTCGACATTTTTTTTTTCTTTTTTTTTTTGTCCAAACATATTTTGCTATTCCTTAAGACAGTTTTGATTTTATTTTTGACAAGGATTCTACACATTAAAGATGGAAATTGCGGAATAGCAAGTGTAAAATCAATTAAACCAATAAGTTTCGGTGAAAAAATAAATTCAAATCAAATCAAATGCAATAACCGATTGTTAGAATCCATTTTAATTTTTTACTAATGAAAAAAACATTGATGTTAGTGTTTTTCCACTCTGTTTTTGTTTCTTGGACTTTTCACAACAGAATTTTTTTTTTATCTCGAATATGTGAAAAAAAAAGCTATTACTTACGCTGCTGTAAGCACACACTGTCATTCCAATTATTGGTGATTCTTGAGAGAATTTAAAATCTCTGTTTTCCTCGTCACAAAAGTCGCATATAGTACAAAGACACATCATTCTGAAAGTCTGTTAAAAAATTAAAATCAAAAAAATGAGCATGCCGCCAAGGAAAATGAAAAAGCCACAGTTTCAGACCTTAAACCTGAAGCAAAACGAAGCTTTTAAACTTCACGTGTCATCTTGACGTGAAGATTTATCTCGGCTTCAGAACGGACAAATAATTTAAAGATTTTAAAAATTACTAAACAGTTTTTTAGAAAAAATAGCCAATTTGGCGAGATTTTCCTACCTAAAGCAAATTATCAAAATCACTGCTTTATTATAAGTTTTTTGCGAATTTCCATGAATCCCGATAACAAAAAATTGGATTAAGTTTTTAAATATTAAAAAATTAGACCACAAAAGCTTTAAATTTCCACAAAACCGTGGCTTTTTCTCCATATCGACGTTTTTGCACCATTTTCAGAATAATCACAAACAGTGATAGATAAGCTAAACTTTAGATAAACTAAACTTGTCCCAGTCATAAGTAATTGTTGCAAACTCATAAGCTGTTATAAAAATAGCATATTATTCTAAAAAAGAAAAAGCATTATTCCATACAACGACGAAGCCTGAGACAAAGAGTCATTTTCAAAAAAGCGCTATATAACGTTTACGGCCATCTTTGACAAAAAACAATTTTTATAAACTATTATTTTTCAACACTATAGCAATAACCCCGTGAATATAATACGCAATACTTTCTGTTCTTTTGAAGTTTGTTGTAACTGATTATTTATTTATTTTAGCGCAACTACCTATATACCTTTGAAATACAGCTAACATATGCATCAGTACTATAAGAAGCAAAAAAAAAAAATATATATATATATATATAACCTGGTCCTTAACCTAAATTGGTCGAATAAATCTTAAAAACTACCCTGGTAGAAGAAATGTTTCAGTTGACACATGCTTCAATGCTATAATGAGCAAAGAAAAATATAACTTAGTCTTTAACTTAACCTGGTCCTTAACCTAACCTTGCAGAAGGAATGTTTCAGTTGACACATGCATTATAAGCAAAGAAAAATATAACTTAGACTTTAACTTAACCTGGTCCTTAACCTAACCTTGCAGAAGGAATGTTTCAGTTGACACATGCATTATAAGCAAAGAAAAAATCTGACCTGGTCCTTTGAATTCCATCTTTCGATTTCCATCCAAGGCAAATGTGCTTTGACTTCATATGGTTTAAAATCAAATTCGATGATATGAGAAGTCGTTAAGAATACACTAAGATGCAAATAGGCTTCCATTAATATTTGTCTGATTTGATGCATTTCTGATTCTTTCAACACTTCTCCTTGTTTTCTTTCATAGTAATGTTTTAGTTTATTCATCACTTTCCCACCGAATAGACGATTTTTCAGAAATGTTCTCATTGGCAAAGCAAGGGACGAAGTTGCCGAAGTCATTTTTTCACAAAATGGCTCATCTGAAACAAAAATTATACTGAGTTTTATTGAGAAATAATAATGAAACAAATACATTTGTAAATCTGTGTTTTTTCAAGTATAAAAAGGAAAAGATAATTTTATAATTGTCACGCTGAAAATAATCACTTAACACTCTTATCACTCTAAAACGTGAAGGCTATGGTTAGTTTTAGTGGTGATGGTAGAAGTTTGTCGTGTAAGTGATTCCCCCGTTTTTTGTTTTACATGTGCTAAATATAGAATTTTCTTTCCCTTTTTTCAGTTCATTTGAGCAACTCAATTTTTAATTTTATTATTTTATACTTTTTTCTCCTTTTTTAATTTTGCGTCTGTTAGTTTATATGGATAAGTGGTAAAAGTTTCAAAGGGGGATTAGAAAATGAGAATAAAGCGTATTGATCATTAAAAGCATATCTCCGGTATGAGTTTAACACGTTTATTTCCGGTATGAGTTCCAGCACAGGGATTTCCAACTGTCTTCCCGCGGGACGCATCCGGCTCTAGAAGTCTTTTTGTGTGGCCCGCGAACTAAAATTTACTGTCGTTTTTTTGCGGACAATTTTCATAAGAATCTATATGGGTTTGAAATACTTTTCTTGCTAAAAAAAACCTTATTTCTTTGCTTCTGTGAAATTTAACATACTAACGGTGCAAAAAATTTTATTTCTCCGGTTTTGCATTCAAGAAAATATTTATTCAAATACAAAAATAATTGTATATGTTGCTTGTTTTTATTTCGTTTTTTTTTTCTTTTGCATTTTGTGAATATAATTTAGCATGTGCGTATCAGAAATTTTCTTGAAGAAATTATCCCATTTAACTTTTTGAAACCACTCATTTTGGATGAAATTAATTACAATTGTAAATTTTAAAACGCATAAAAGAGGGAATGAATAGCACGTTTTATTTAAATTCCTTGAATTGAATATCGCATCAAAAAAAAACTTCATGTGCTCGCGAATTTTTTAGTTATTGCTATAAATCCTAATAAGTCGAAAAAAATGTTACTTTATCACAGAATTAAATTTAAAAGGAAAAAAAAAACCTTGTCACTAAGTATCTGATTAAGAGAAGACTCAAAATAATGCGTAACAAGCATTGCTTGTAATTCTTGTTATTTTGCTTTTAAATATTAAAAAAACTTTAATAAACATCTGACAGTAATATTTAATGTTCCTTCAAATATGAGTCCTATATAAAATTTTGATAAAGTTCCGTCCCGCCATTTGACTGGTGTTTTTAATAGCTGCCCCCGTCCTCATGTAAGTTGGAAATCCCTGTTCTAGCATTTGGAAAGTTGTTCAAATTTTGGCCTTTTCAAATAAACTTTTTCTTCTTTGTTTATATTAGTTTTGGCTTTGAATTGAAAAAAATTTTTACGATTTTTTTTATCACCTTTAAATATTATTTTGCAACCTTCAATATACATAATAGGACAATATGTAGGATACGACTCGATTTTCACAAAGATTTTAAAAGTGTATACAAGTTAACCTCGTTGAAACAAAAACGATTAATATGTTGTTCTCTATAACACCATCTCAAAACACAGAATAAATGTCATGATCATTTTTGCGGATTTTGAGCTTTGATTAAAAGCAATTAGAAAGACGTGCTGAAAATGTTCATTTATCCCATCTTGATACTTCCTTTTAATGATTTGAAAATCAAACTGATTATTATTGCAAACAAATAACAAAACATAGATTTTAACACAACGGTACTTATACCAAAACTCATTATATACCAAAAACATTTAACAACATACAGAATGTAAACAAATTTAAAAAGAAGACAGGATCTTAATTTTCAATCCAATATTATTCCAGTAGAAAAAAAATGTGATTTGCTTGAAAAGATAACAATTGTAGTTTTCAAGGAAATACAGGATTTAAACAAAATTATGGAAGCACTTCTGTACTTACTTATTTCTCGAATATTTAGCGAATTATTTTTTAACTTCAGAAGTGTTTAAATCATGCAATTTCTCATACATATCAGAGAAGTTTAAAGTTTTTAGAGGTTTGAAGGACCTCCAATAAATTAATTTTGAATATCATCTGCCAAAAAATATAGCAATAAGCTTATAACTTGTAACTATTATTTTTGTTAAAATATGCAATAATTGCAAAAAATATATTTAACCTATTTTAAAAAAATTTTTTGCTTAATATTTTCTTAGTGTAACTGCATAAATATTTAAAACATATATAAACGAAATTTTTAAGGTAATTTTTAATAAATAACAAAAATATCATTTTAAAATTTGTAAAACATTTCTTACAAATTGTTCAAGACGTATGTTGTATTTTTTTCATATGCTACCAAATACGATTCAGAAAAAATTTATGAAAATTTTTTCAATGATTTTCTAAATGATTCCCGAGCACGCGCAGTATGAAAGAATTACTTTAAATGCCTAAAATCTTGCCCAATTTTCAAAAGAAAAATTTTTTTCAAATTTTAAAATATTTTTGTTATTAATTAAAATTTACTTTAAAAATTTTGTTTAATTTTATGGAATATTTATACAGTTATAATTAGAAAATTTTAAGCAAAATAGTTCGTTTTTTATAAAAACTTTCAAATTTCCATCAATATTTAAAGCTTGGTTCACAAATTTTCTGCAATTATTTCATGTAATAAGAAGAATAACTGTTACAACTTACAAGCTTATTGCTATATTTTTTGGTATGAGTTGTTTAAAAGACCCTTTTTCGTTCGCCATTAATTGCTGGTTCCCAAACGGCTGAAAACTTTAAACGTAACTTTATATGTAAGAAGAAAAATCGCAAAACTTAAACACTTCGAAAGTAATAAAAATTCTCTAACTTTTTCTTAAAAAATATGAAAAAATGAGCTAGTATAGAAGTGTTTCAGAAATTCTGTTCAACCCCTGTAAATGCTTCACTTATAAAGAATTCGCAGCTTACCGTCAAAGAGCTTGAAACAAATATAGTCGCAAGTATATTCCTCCATAAATTTAATTTCAATGTACAATATTTTCGCGCAGGCCAAACATAGGAATCCAGTCATTGAAAAAAAAGCGACCATTATTGCTGAGTCTGTTAAAACTTCTGAAAGAATTTCAGTAAAAATGTGAATTGGTATCTTAAGTGAACCAAGGCAATCCATTTTGAGTCCTACAGCAGAATATAAACTTACAGAGCAAAGCTACAAGTAAAAATAAAATGCGTGATGAAGTTCTCAGCTCAATTATCATGTATCGATTTGATCCGTATAAGCGGGACGATACCATTTTTTCTGTGGTGTTATAGGGAAAGAAAAAGATCTATTTGTTTTCGCTTCCTGCCTTCAGGGTGGAGTTCTATTTTCCACAACGTGCGTTCTATGCAACCCGGAAACCTAGATTATTGATCAGATACCTATTGTGTGCAAAGTGCATTCGCTACAATTACATTGTTTTTAAAATTTGAGATGACTTTTGCAAATTATTTTATTGTTAGAAAAAATGTGGACCTTACAATAGCAGAATACTTCGTGCAATCAGAAAGATATTGTTTATTTGTATCTCGTCCCGCCCTATTTAAGGGCATACGAGAGTAGATACATAAAACTTACACAAAACATCAGAAATTATATCAACAAGTATAAAAAGAATAAAACACAAGCGAACAACAGTTAAAAACATGACCCTAAATCCAGACAACACATTGAAAATCACAAAGATCATAATTAAAAGAGTGAAAACAATATATACATAAAAGTGAATAAAACACGCACGTGGTAAAAGCAATGCATAAAAGTAAAAGATTACATAAGGAACAAACTGGAANTTTTTTTTTTTTTTTTTTTTTTTTTTTTTTTTTTTTTTTTTTTTTTTTTTTTTTTTTTTTTTTTTTTTGAATATTAAACGGGAGGGGTCGGGTTATTCTAGTTTGTAGGGTGCTGCGCCCATGTACAAGAAGCCTTGAGCCAAGAAGCCTGCCGGCCGAAGATTCCCCGTGTAGTAAATGGTGACGAGTGCAAGTTAAATCTGTCAGATCACAAAGTTTTCATTGTTCCCATGACAAATCATACCTGTGGGGGTACTGAATTTTAGATTAATCAGGCTCTAGTTCAGGTCAAAATTATGATCTGTGGATGAATGAATGGTCCCGCCCTATAAACGGGCAGTGAAATGTGTGTGTGTGTGTATGGCTGAAGTTGTATTCTTGGCCATGGATGGTGCCACTAAAAAACAAGAAACGCACCATCTGACTTGAATTCGCTTGGTTTCACCAAGCAGGCTTGCTGGTATTAGCAAGTGACATTAGAAACAACAACAACAACAAAAAAACAGGAGAAAAACCATGCTTCATCAACCATAGCATTTATATTAAAAAAGGGAGAGTTACCATACAACCCCAACAGTAGAATCTATTGAGTCAATCTACTGTACCATCTTCATAAATCAAAATTTTATTTCATTTCATAACTGTCAATGAACAGCCAACCCAACTACCAATATTCAACACCGTACTTTTGTAATTTCAAACCCATTCCAGAGGACAAGGAAACTCCTGAATGCTGTATTGGGAAAAAATTGCCTTCGTAGAGACCTTTTTAATGGAACTAACTCGCATTTGCGTTACATGGATAGAAAAACCACGAAAACCTCTGACGGCAAGCGATCTCTAACCCAGGATCCGTTTACCAATGAGGATATTTTTATGTCAACACTGTGGTCGGTGCGAACTGGGTGTGGAATTCGCATCGCTGATATTCGAACTCGTTCTCCATCATTGGGAGGTGAACGCTCTATCCCTTGATCCTCCACGGTTCATAAATTTGTCTGCAACCCAAACCCTAAAAGATGGAGACTATAATTGTAAAAAGATAAGGTTTACACAAACTCGTTTAATTAAAAATTTGAAATCTCAAATTTAAGGAAGTTAAAAAATAAGCAAAAGAAATGCATGTTGTTCAAATTTAACTTCGAACATGGCATTATTATTTATACATTAGGAAGATGGGAACAAAATCCTTATTTAAAGCATGAAAATAACTAAGTAGAAAAAAATGTATGCTGATAAAGTTAAATTCAAACTTTTAATTCATTTTTTATACAATAACTGGTGTAAGTATAAATAAACTACAGAAAAGGAAGAAGGATGGAAAGAACATCCTTTTTTTCTGAACAAAACCAAACTATCGCAAAGACAGTTGTACTAAAATTTAAAGTTATTGATCTGAGAATGAATCCTTTATTAAAACAATGATTACACAACATCTGAACCATGTGCTTTATTTTTAATTTTTAGTTATCTGCGACAAGTACTTAGTTCGAAATGCAGTCACTTTACGAATCAGGAAAACAAGCATGAAATTAAATACTGTTTAATTAATTTTGCATGATCAATAGAGGGCGTTGCAATTCACAATAATTCTGATTATATATCACTTGTGTGGCAGCTTATTGGAAAGCCTAATAAATATCACGTCATGGGCCTTGGCTGCTCTGGGGGTAGAACGTTCACCTCCCAATGAGGTGATTCGAGTTCGAATGCCAGCGGTGGCTGGTCGATATGAATTCCACACCCTGCTCGCACTGACCGCAGTGCTGACGTAAAATGGTAGACGGATCACGGGTTTTGAGTCCTCTTACTGTCAATCTAACCGGGAACGGCTTTCCGCGTTTTCCTCTCCACGTAACGAAATGCGGGTTAGTTCCATCGAGAAGTCCGATACGAAGGCATGCTTCTCCCCAATACTTGATCCAGTAGTTCCCTTGTCTTCTGAATTAGATTCAAAATTTCAAAGCTACGGAATTGAGCATTAGTAGTCGTATACTCAGAATTAGGTCGGCTGTTCAACGACGGTTATAAATTAAATATCGCATCATTTCATTGTTTACTTTTATTGTTTTCAATTAATAAATTTGTTTATTATTAAAAATGGCTTTTTTATTCGATGCACTTTTCCAGCATGAACCATTCTGCAATCAATGTTTCATGTATAACAAGTGTAATTTGGTTACGCGTTTGACATATCTAAACAAATAAAATATTCTTTCCAGATTTTTTGTTACGTTAACTTGAATTGAACAAAAAAAAGAAGAAAAAAGAACTGAAGGAACTTATAGTCTATGTATAAAGGTTTTTATGAAAAAGATGTATAGTTAAATTATAAGTATAATTTGTATAATAAGTATAATTTGGCACTTGGCTCCACCTCCTCCAACGAAGAGCTCATTTCAGCTCGAGAGTAAGAGGAGAAACGTCTCCACGCTTGAAATTGAGACAACCCTTAATGCGTGTCAAACGCATACAGTGAATTATTTTTCAGTCACTTACTACACTTTATCCTTTGTTATTATATCTTTCGTTACTCTATCGAATTAAATATTTTAAATTTGAAACCCAGCAAAATGTCTCATAAAAGGCAAACTATTCACTAAAACGAGAGAAAAGTCAAATTTATGACATATTTAATGTTTAAAAAATGCACATGAAGATTGCGAAATAGATATTTTTGTCATACTATCGCCAAATAGCAACCTTATTCGGGATTGTTCACATCCATCTCCCAAAAATAACGAAACATTATAGTGGGATACTACGTGATAAAGGTGTAGCCAAGTGCCTGGTGAACGAACTACACCAACTTTCGATTTCTTCTTACTTTTACACTTCTAATAGTGCAATAATTTTTTCCTGACAGATTTGGATTTTTGATTTCTTAAATATGATGGGTAGTCGCAGCCTGGAAAATATGGTTCAAATAGTTTAGTCAGGCAGCTTTCGAAAGTTTGTGCCACTTTACATCAATTTCACTTCGAGCGCATTTTGTTGCATATCTCGGTAGTTCTTTTAAGCAGAGACGAAAACTTTATGCTCACAACTGTAAAATTTGTTTATCTAAAAAGAAGTTTCCCTAAAATCAGTCCCGCTGTGGGTTGATTGTAAAGACACTGCTCCCGGTGGAACACCGAAGTCAAGAATAACTGGTTACGATCATTCCTGAGTAGGGACCGAGGGTGCACGGTATCGGTCATCGTTAAACTGTTCCACTGTAAAGTGCTCTACTTCGCGCAGGTCGTTAGGCTACCAAAGCAGGGGAGCCATCTCCTCTGCAGAGGATCAAAATTGTGATGGCATATCTTTGGATCATCCTCAGGAATGTTTCCCAGATCGTCACCAATAGCCTATTGTACAGCTCTAGTGTAACGTAAATAAAATACCTTTCTACCCTAAAAATCATTTTAATGGAATTTATTATTCTTTATATATATATAAATAATTTTTTTTTTAATATAAGTATAAAAAGTTGTGAATTTCAAGATACCCAAATTTTTATATCATTACATTAATCATTCCCCTGATGTTAGGTTTTTGTTCGAGAAAGTACCCTTACGAAAATTTAAGGTATATTTAAGGTTGATTTGAGGTATTTTTGAGGTATTAAGGTTGATTTGAGGTATATTTAAGGTTGCAGATGAAAGAGCAATAAAAATTATACCTCGTAAAGATTGTAATTAAGGTGTACGAGGTTGTTTTATATACACTTCAGCTTGTTCTGGGGTTGTTTAAAATTCACTTCAAATCAACCACACTGATAAGGGGATTTTTGAGGTATCCCTTACGAAAATTTAAGGTATATTTAAGGTTGATTTGAGGTATTTTTGAGGCATTAGGGTTGTTTTGAGGTATATTTGAGGTATATTTAAGGTTGCAGATGAAAGAGCAATAAAAATTATACCTCGTAAAGATTGTAATTAAGGTGTACGAGGTTGTTTTATATACACTTCAGCTTGTTTTGGGGTTGTTTAAAATTCACTTCAAATCAACCACACTGATAAAGGGATTTTTGAGGTATACCAAATTTATTTTCTTACACTTGTAGCAAAAGAGGTATTTTTGAAGTATAAAATTTTCTACTTTGTTTCAACTAAAGAGAGTGAGGTATTTATTGAGGTATATGGAGTCATTTTATTTATACCTAAGCTTATTTTGAGGTTGTTTTAAAATCACTTCATATCAACCAGACTGATAAGGTGATTTTTTTAGGTATACGAGGTTGTTTTTCTTACATTTGTAACAAAAGAGGTATTTATGAGGTATAAAAAAATCAACCTTGTTTCAAATAACGAGAGTGAGGTATTTACGAGGTATAAAAAAATATACCTTATTTCAACTAAAGAGAGAGAAGTATTTATTGAGGTGTATGAAGTCATTTTATTTATACCTAAGCTTGTTTTAAGGTTGTTTAAAGTACACTTC